GTCAGAGACAAATGCTGTCTGATGATTGAATGACAGATTCTACTGACGTTGCATTAGACTGTTTTTTGTTATTTGACTACTACTGCTGCTGCTACTACTACTACTACTATTAATACCACTATCCGTTATTTGTAATCCACAATAGGCAGAAATCAAAGGTTATGAATAGATTCACGTACCTCGGTAGTACACCGTCTCAAAATATCGCCATCGAAGAGGAGGTAACACCATGGTCTCTGAAACCAGCAGCTCATTTGGTAGACTATACACCAATGTCTGGCATTGAAATGGCCTCAGTCTGCAAGCCAAACTGAAGATTGACATTGCTGCAGTACTTCCAGTGCTACTGTGTGCTTGTGAAACAACATGGGTTGTATACAGACGTCAGGCAAAGAAATCAACCACTTCAATAGTCTGTCTGAAAAAGATACTGAACATCAAATCGCAAGATAGGGTCCCAGATATTGTATTTGGTAAAGCTGGCATTTATAGCATCGATACTATCCTGACACAGACGCTGATTCGATGGTCAGGTCACGTGGCGCCCAAAAAATAACCTGTAGTGGTGAGATACAAGAAGGTAGACACTCTCATGTTGGTCAGAAAACACAACGCTTTAAGTACACTCCAGAGGCATCACTTTAAGCCTTCAGTAAAACCCACCTGGGGGCGGCGCCGGCGCACAAGACTGGACAACATGGCGAGCGTCTATCTGTAGAGGGGGCTGTGACATGTCAGGTTTCAAGAAAAAGGGTAGCTGAAAATCACCTCAGGACTCAAGGACAATCAACCGAAGTTTCATGACGGATCAAAGAAAGAGTGATTTCCATCACTTGTGATGGACGAACACCCCCAAAAAATAATCTACAATATATCCCTCTTTTTTGCCTTTTGTTTTCCCCCACAGTCGTTACACAAGAGTACATATATGTTACAGACATCGGCTGTCAAACCTGATGTAGATTTATTATTTCATGCTTGTTTGTATTTATAATTGTTAATTTATAACCCAAAAAAAAAAGAAAAAAATTTGTAACAGATATAGTGCTCAGTTTTATATATACATCTATGTATTTGTGTGTGTGTGTGCGTGCGCGCGTGTGTGTGGGTGGGTGGGTGGAAAACAACGGTACTGCCTTTTGCAGTCACAATGAAAACAGCAACTCTATCGTAACTTCTAATTTGACCTGCTCTTGTCTTTGGGTATAGATAACCTAAATGAAAACTAATGTACCTAGATTCTAGGAACGTGGTTATAGTTTTCATTGTATTATTATAATTTGTTGTGTGAATTCATAGACCAACATCTTTTTTATACGAGTAGGTTTAACGGAATACACTGTGGACATAGAAAAGAAAAAGCAAAACAATACATTCCCGAAACAAGAATGTATGACACAGTTGTATCTGTGAAAGATTTTCAAAGTCAAAGGGAGCTGAGGGACATGATCAGACAAATTCAATCATTACCCATCTGCCTCTGTAGAAGCAGGAGTGTCTCTCTCTTCTCATCACATGGACAGCAGCAATCTCAGAATTTCAAATCCTTTGGTGTAAATTTTATGACAGAGTATGTTGTTTTAAAAAAAAATGTTGATATTTTTCTGTGTATTTTCTATGAGCTTTCCTGTCAATTTTTATATGTCTTTGAATTGATTCAAGAACCGGCATCGCAGCACTCGGGGCATTCCTATAAGCGCTCTTTAGCAGCCAGAGAAGAGATCAGATACTAATGGTGCCAGTAACATTCTGATTAAACGTCCGTCTTGCCTTTCCTCTGAGCCTCGAGCATCTGCCAGAACATCTCTTCACTCTCCCCCTGCATCAATCTCACCAGACTGTGGTGATCAATCTCCTCATCGGAACTGTACACGCTCTCCCACAAGGCACTGACCATGTCTGCCTTATCATGTATCAGTATTCTCCCAAGTTGTGTAGAGCCAGTCAGTCTGTCTGCCTGTTTATTTCCTAACATACCGGAGTGACCCATTTAAAAAATCCAGACAATACTCATCACCCGTGTCCTCCACAGAGAAGCATGCCACCCTGTACGAATCATACCTGTCCTGATCTTCATCAGCATGTTTCTGAATCAGTTACAATCACTATGTGTGTGTGTATGTGTGTGTGTGTGTCATGTTCTCTAACCAGCGGAAAGCTGTAGTGACCGCCTCCGCCTCCATTCTGAAGCTGGATGTAAGTTAGGCTCTCCTGCACCAAATGTTGACTGTTAACTTCTGCTAAAAAAACCAAGCACTTCTTTTGCCTCTTGACACTGAACCGTGTCTAAATGATCAGATCCTCTGAGCGAGCATTATCTTGAATTAATTGCTGAATTTCCACCTCCGTGGCACCTGCTGGCCAGTCTCTGCATTCCCGGCTCAGCGTGATTATGACTCTACACAAGTCTGTTCAGGTGGCACTTTGACCCACTCCTCTCCTCGCCTAATGTTCTCAAGGATGCAGACCTGTAATATGCCTTGAATATGTTTAAATATTCAACGTGTTTTACATTTTCATACGCACTGGTTCGATTTTTAAAGTACAACTGTGTTTAGTCTGATCTGACTAAAATTGTTTTGACTTTGTACACTGTATTATGTTTTCTTTTCCCATCAATAAATTCGTACCAATATTCAATAATTTCCATCATTATTTTCACCACTGTTCGTGTCCTCAGAAGTGAAACAACAATTCCCCTGTTTATGAGATTAAGTTCGCCTTCATTAATCCTTGACCGGTTATACATGTAAATTTTAGCACATCACCAATTATTGTCTCACTATTTTAAATGTAATTTAACCTTGTAGGTAATATTTCTATTCCGAAAGCTCCTAGTTCTTATAAAATCCCTGCAGTTATTATGGCTCAATTATTTAAATGGCAGGTATTTACAGTTCAGCAAAGACGCCAGGGTCGCCACCATCAGCGATCAGAACAACAACATAGGCAGCGTTACAACAGCGGAGGTAGCAGCAACTCAGAGACCTCCCGAACACCATCAACCAGCAGCATCGACGATACCTCATCTTCTCTAGGTAACTTGTCTTACAATCCCATCTTCTTCAAATCCCCTGCGTGTAGTTGTTGAAGTTATGTTTGTAGCTGACATCTTACCTGTATTAGTCTTTGGCAGTTATCACTGCTGCACATTGATGTCTCTTTTAAAATGTATTGAACCCCTAATGAGTGTCAATTTTGCACAGGTTGCCAGTCCAATTTTCTCTGCTGTTGTCTAATGTTACTACATTTCCCAGAGAAACCATTCTTTCCATGTGGTCATTTTAAAAAAAGTCAGCAAAAGTATTTGAAGGCAGAGGTTGACCACTTACAAAATGGACCGCGGAAATATCAGAGACACTGAAAAGTATTATACACGAAGTGAACAGAAGGACCCGTTCTAGAAATCTCTTTCTCCGGTGACGCCGCAACTCATTCCAGGAGTAGAGAAAAGAAGAAGAAGATCGGTCGACAATTGCGATTCCTAATGTGGTACTTTCGTTGTCTACCCAAAATGCTCAGTTCACAAATGCTTGTAAGTGAGCCCAGCTGAAACCAAGAAAAGTATCACCTGTCACATCAAGTGAGACTATATATAGCAAGTAAAGGAAACACAGTTATTCAAGTGTAAGGCCCACATAAATAATGAGATTGATCATGGATGTGCCAGGGAGTGTGATTAGTGGTTAGAACATGAACAGCCTGCGGTTAAGCTGATGTCACCGTCTAGATAGTGACAAGTTAGAGTGACCTACAGTAATTGATGGTCTTAATGGTTGTAGAAAGTGACAGAATGAGTCTCAGTTTTAATCAAGGAAAGACAGAAGCAATTGAGATCTACAAGAAAAGATAAAACCCTAAATGTATAATAACAGTCAATGGCGTCATTTTAGGACAAGTACAGAAAGTTAAGTATCTAGGCACATGGATAACATCCGATGGAAGATGTATCACATAGATATAGAACATATTAGGACAGAACCAAAACTGCCTTTTATCAAATAAAGAACATTTTGTGCAATAAATCCATGTCATTTGAGGTTAAGAAAGGATTTCTGGCATAGAGCTGGCATGCTATATAGAGCTGGCATGCTATATAGAGCTGGCATGCTATATAGAGACAGTTATAACAAATGACCGTCAAGCCTTGACAATAAAAAAAAAAAAAGCCGAACAATATCTTGAGGTGTGATTTTACAGAAGAATCCTTAGAATTCCCTGGACAGCTAAGAAGAGCAACCCAGATGTTCTAAAAGAGGCGAATGCTCAAATACAACTTATCGCAGATATCAGAGAGAGAGAGAGAGAGAGAGAGAGAGAGAGAGAGAGAGAGAGAGAGAGAGAGAGAGAGAGATCATTGTTTGGGTCTTATTGTGAGAACATAAAAATTGGAATATGTTGTGTCCACTGGAAAGATTTGTGAAAAGATAGAAAGATGAAGACGGCGCGACAAGATTCTTGACAGTCATTTGTCATTACATGATATATAAAGATCTCCGTCAAACAAAGCAAATCTCATTAGAACCGGGGGGGGGGGGGGGGGGGACATTACGCTACTAGTGCCATATATGAACCTTTACCAGAATTATTTAGCGGAATTTTGTAACAACAGAGATGAGATGTTTTAGGAGAGTTGCCGGTGTCACAAGAAGAGATAAAATCAGAAATAAAGAAATTTGAAAAAAAGACTAGGATCTAAACTAGTCATACAATGCATTAAAGAACAACAAGTGAGACGGTTTGGCCATCTGACGAGAATTCCCTGTTACCAACTGCCACAGAGAGCCACGCTGAAGAAATATCATGAACACAGAGCAAGGTGAAGATCACACAAGAGATGGAGCGACATCATCAGGAGCAACCTAACATAAATAAACACCAACTTGTACAATACGTTGGAAAAAAGACACAATCGATCCTTACATCTCCCCCACAAAACCTCGCTGAGGTAAACGGTGGAAGAAAATAATAAGAGGAATAGAGGGGTGTCATAACACGAT